GGTAACCGAAACTTAATTGGGACGTTTTTTTTTTTTTTTTTTTTGCCTCCTCGGCTTGCTAGTTCCATTACTCTCCGCATGCCAACCCATGAAAAGAGTCGTGCCTGTTGCTTTCCCTTAATCTTAAATGGGCTCAGTTTGAACAGGTGCCTGTCGCTGCATCTTGTATACACTGGGGAGAAACATCGACGGAGAAGGCGCAGCAAAATAATCCTTCTCTCTCCAGACTTGACTCCCACAATCTGATCTGGAGAGCGCTGGTTTCCATCAGATCTGAAGAAAGCTTTTGCAAAAGTGTCCCCCTCTTTCCCTCCCCCTCCCACTTTCCTGCTTCCACTTCCACCCAGTTCTTTGAAGGAAGGGGTGGCCTGGAGTCCCCTTGTGTGCAAAGCAGGATCTGGAAGGTGGGCTACTCAGTGCCAGCTTTCTCCTGAAAACTGAGCAGCCCCAGCTTGTTGGGTGAGGGGTCCATGGGGCTGGCTGGGTCAGGCACGGAGCAGGCAGTTAAAACCCACGTTCTCCTCTGTAATGTGGAGCTTCGCCAGAGGGGAAAGGGTTGGTTGGTGGCTGGTTTTAACGCTGGTTTCCAATGTGTCGAGAGCAGGGATACAGGGGAGATGGATACACAAACTATTCCTCACCCATTCAAGCCTATCAAGTATGCAGGTCACGCCAGCCAATGCACACGCGCCGCAGATCCTTGACTGTTTTCCAGGAGCACCCAACATGTGAGAATTCCCCTCCCGTCCCATAGGTGAAGTTTCCGGGACCTCAGACTCGACCAGCCCTCTCCTGTCCTTTGAGTTCATTTATAGCTCCAAACCGCCTCGATCTCCCCCGGGGAGACCGGCAAAGCAGCCTGCTACCTGCAACCGCAGGACTCGACCACCATGTCTTCGTACTGCTTGTACACCACGTTGTTGCCCGCATCTATGTAGAGGATGCTGATGGGGGTCAGTTTGGTGGGCACGCAGCAGCTGGGAGGCGTGGAGCTGGGATCCATGGAGTTCATGAGGGTCTGGATGATGGCGTGGTTGGTGGGCTCCAGGTGGGATCGCAGCGGAAAGTCGCACACCCCTTCGCAGTGGTAGGCTTCGTACTCCAGCGGGGCGATAATCCAGTCGTCCCAGCCCAGCTCCTTAAAGTTCACGTGCAGGGGCTTTTTGCTGCACCTGAGCCGGGACTTCTTGCCATGCCTCTTGCCATGGCGGTTGGCGAAGGCGGTCCGCCTCTTCCGCCGCGTCTTGAACTGCTGCTGGGTCTCCTGCGGCACGCGCTGCGGCGAGCCCCGCTCCTCCCGCGGCGAGCCCCGCTCCTCCCGCAGCTCGGCGAACAGGTTCTTCCGCGGGGACCTGGTGAACACCACCAGCAGGGCCTTCTCCTGCTGCGCCCGGCCTCTCCTGCCGAAGCCCAGGCTCCTGAGGTCCGGCAGCGGCTGCTGCCCTCGGCCCCCCGGGGCCCGCAGCTCCAGGCAGAGCTGCTTCCAGGGCTGCTGCTGCTGCAGCCCCTGCCACACGTCAAACACTTCCCAGCCGGCCGGGGGAGCCTCGCGCGGGTCCAGAGTCCGGGCGTCCAGGAGCCGGGGGGAGAGGCAGGGGAAGAGCTGCATGGAGGACAGGCCCGGCGGGGGCTGGGAGAGGCGATGGCCGGGGGCTTTGCGAAAGAGCCGCAGCTCCGCTCCCACCAGCTCTTCTTTGTCTGAGAGAGTCGATACATCAAACAAATACTTCTGTCTCCTGAGCGGGGCGGGCGAGAGATCGTCTGCAAGATAACACATAATTACAGTCAGTTTCACTCCGGGGGATCTTCCCGCGGCCGACGGGAGACAGGGCAGGGAGCCTGGGCTCACCCCTCCAGCGGCCCTGCCTGCCCCAAGCCGCCCGCCGCGCCCCCGGCCCGGAGAGCCAGGCGCCCTCTCCCAGGGACGCAGCGGGACGGGAGAGGACTGGTGTCGGCGACTCTCCGCGGGGCTTCTCCTTCCATGGGGGGAGGCAGGGTCGCTGCGGGGTTAGATGTGTCACTGGCCTAACGTGTTTCCCTTGTGCTCACTGGGTGTCTCTAAAAGGGAGCCCGTGTTTTAGTGGCAGGATCAGCACACAGCGAGAATCGCCTCGCTCCGCGTCCAAACTGGCTGCAGAGACAGGGCGTGTTCTGACAGCCCGCGCTCCATGTACATTTCCTCACCCCGTCGGCTCTGCTGTCCTCTGCGGCTAGAGTCCGGAGGGGGAGGGGAGAGGAGGGGGGCTATTTTATTCCGCTCCGAGACAGAAACCTGGACTTCTTTTTTGACACATTTGTGTACGAAGTACAGCACGAAAAGCAAACCAGATTCCCCCGAGCTGCTTTCCAATAAAATGTTTACAACCCAGCAAATACAAAAATTCCCAAAGCCCCTGGGTCTCCCCAGAAGCTAGTAAAGTTTGTGTATATTTCAATAGTAAAAGTGTCATTGGAGCCAGCGTTCAGCAGCCCCTCGCAGCATTTCCAAGCTCAGCTTGCGCCAGAGGTAGAAATGGAGACTAAAGAAATATACAATCCCAGTTATTTGTTGATTTCAAAGGTCATTGCTATTTCTAATCAGTATGTTTCCCAACCTAAGGTCCAGCTGAAAATTCTGGAATGGGGGAGCCTGCTGAGGGGTGGGGGAACAGCCGGATGATTTATGGAAGCCAAGACCTCCAGACTTGCCAAATCGATGTAAAAATCAATACGGATTGGTATACAGGAACTCAAAAGTCACTCTCCATTGGCTGCTTTTTTTTTGCAAAAATGCAGACAATAGGTACTGTGTGAAATTCAGTTGGTATCGCGTTGCATAACCGGGACACAGCGCCCAGGCAATATTCCTCGAGAGATCGCGGTTCTTTCGTAACAGAGCCTTCGTAGCAACCGTGCGCAGAACCATTTCCTAACAAATCCATAGGAAGAGTTTAGGGACCCGGTCGAAGCCCGCCTGGGTGGCTGTAGCGAACTACACTTTTACCGGGTTGCCATCCCTCTAGACAATGTTTCTGAGGAGCTTTCCACCTTTATTCAGGGCACGGTTACGTTTCCCCGGCGGGGGGGAGGGGGAAGAGAGAGAGGCAAAAATCTGTTTTCTTTCATTGGAAATGTGTATGTGAGTCATTGGTAAACATAGATCGGTCCTGGAAATCAATTATACATTTCCGTGTGTGAGGAAGATAAAAAATAATTAAGACATCAGTGAAAGGGTTAATTAGTTTAAAATAAAATAGGTGTAATGATTTACCAAAGTAGTTGACAAAATGATTGTATGAAGATGGATTACTCTTGGGTAAAGCACTTGGGATTCTATCCTGCTGCCACTGAGATCAGTGGCAAATCTCCCCTTGACTTCAGTGGAAATCGGACCAGTGCCTTTTAAAAGTGAAATTACATTGCTGATTAATTTCAAGCGGGTAGCCAGAGGTATTCATAAAGAAGAGCGCCAGGGAATTTGGAGGAGGCCTATTATACTTCCAAGTACTCACATTAGACTCCTGTAACCCAGTTTCAACCGAGGAAAGAATATTCCTTTTCCATAATGAAGGTTAACCAGAACTAATTAATTCAAACTTCAATTGTCTCTTCTGAAGAGCAACAGCAACTCAGGGATAACTAGACAATCCTGCCTGAGATACAAACCTACTTCAGTGAGAATTACACCTTTATTAACAACCATGGAGCCTACAAAAAACAAGGTGACAACGACAGCTGTTAAAACAATCTGTTTAAAATAAAAGTGAAATATAGCAAGTGCTGCCTACCTTCATTATAATGACTTTAAAGTGCTGTTGGGACCGCTCCATTGAGGAGAGTGAGCAGGATTTGGCCTATCACTGCAATTTGTACACGTGTTTTATCAGCTCTACAGCTGGAATAAGGTAAAATGTGTTGTGTTCACCTAGCTTGTTCTTCAGAAACAAGTTCGGAATGGGGCCATAGTACTTTATGGTTTCCTTTGTCTTTCTATTGTTTTCTACACTCGGCCTGATCTACACACCCCTTCCCTCCCGCCCCCATGCCTAATACACCCAAATCTCCTCTGTTGACTTCAGCAGGAGAGTGGGGGGTTCTGAGTGTACAAGGACTGCAGGATGGGGTGAATGATTCAAGAAAGTGAAGCTCTCAGCCAAGACTCACCCTGCCAGGACTGTGTCAGTTTCACGAGTTTTTCCTCCACTTTATGTGCTGGGCATGGGTCTGCGATGCGGGGTAAGTTTCAGGAAAAGATGTACAGTCCAACAGCAAGAATGTGGATGATTCAAACAATGTCCTGCTTACTTCGTCACATTTCACTTTCGCGATCCAGAGCGCTAAATTCATGCTGCAGCCAGAGCCAGGGCTACATTGCACTGAAAAAATCTAAAAACGTAGTTGATCCTTCTAGTAAGTGGCTGTCTAGAACCTAAGGCGCGCACAGCAAGTTCAGCGGCAGGGGCCGCCTCATTCCTTCATTAGTCTATTTGGGAATGGGTCTGTAAACCAACATTCAGATGGGGAAGGGGGTGGGAGGGTGATCTGAGCTATGGACATTTGAATAACTCTCTCCTCCTAGGGGGCCAGGTTAAACGCACCCTGCGCTCTGTACGCTACCAGGAGCTGAAGAGTGTCTGAAGCAGGACTAGGAAAGTAGGAGCTCCATTTATTCGCCCGTGGGCGCTCCCGCAGTGCTGCTAGGTCTGCTGGGATCAGAGGGGCTGCAGACCTTATCCCCCATGCCTGTCTGGCCCAGGCCAACACCTTCCCAACCCCTACTTAGGAGGCAACCAACCCCCTTCCTCTTCTGCCCCTGGTCTTCGGGGCCAGGGGAAAGCTGGGTCTATCTAGTCCTGCTTGAGGGGCGGGGGTCTTGTGTTTGATCTCAAAGAAGATGTGCGTCCACTTTTTCTCTTCGGGGGAGTTGCAGCTGCAGGTCAGGAGCCCGGCCCGGTGGGACCTTTGGGCCTAGGTGCCTAGATCTGTTTGGTTCCAGATTCCTCGACCCTGGGGTCCCCATAGTCCGAAGATCCCGGGTTTACCAGTTCTCGGAGTTCCTTCAGATCCCCGAAATCTTGTGCCTAGCTCCCCCCTTCTGCTCACAGCTTGCCAGCACGTGCTCCACCCCAGCAGGCTGGTGGCATGCTGAGAACCCGGACCTGAAATAGAGGCATTCTTCTCTCCTCCGCCTTTCCCAGGACCTGTTACCCAGCGGAGATCTAACGGAGGGTGTAGTGCTCCCCCATCACACAGCTAGAAGCCGGGAGAAGGGAAAACGCACGGGCAGTCACCTGCTTCATAGAACTAACCCCTTTCTATGGGACTTTAGCTTTCAGCTGAGGGGGTGTGGGGCTGCAGGCACATTTTTCAACTGAACTCCCCCCAAAGAGAGTTGTGTGAATCGCCTGAGAGAGGTTTGAAAGTGGGGGGGGGGCAAGTCTCCATTTTCCCACGTGAGGACAAGTGAAAGCAAAGTGTTTCTGATTTTGATCAGTAGGGCTGGACATTTAGTGGCTCCGGAATGTCGCGTGGAGATTTATGCCATCAAGGGGCAAATGTCAAGTGTATTGTTAAATGGCAGTTATATGCACTAAGCAGTAGTGGGGAGGAACATGCGAGATCCCATGTGAGTTTCTAGGGTTGAAAACGGCAACTTGAAGGTTGTAAATTGTCTCCTGTTCTTTTTGTGTTTATTCCGTGGTTATCTTCAGCATTGTCCTGCGGTTAACGAGATAATTAAACTCTTCCAGCCATGGGTAGGACGATCTGGGATGTGTGGGTTTCAAACAAGAACACATCTTTTGCTCCTCTAAATATAGCTGAGTCCGAACTGGTTTCATGTCACATTGGACAGGCACGTCAGACAGGGAGAGGAAATGTACCAGGTGGGTAAGAAGATTTCAAAGGACAGCCACATCTCGGCACTACTTGTGTTCCAGAAATTGTTCAGTCAAAAATCTTTCATCAATTGATAAAATTGCCAGTTCTCATTATTCCATCAAAGGGGCCAGGGCACCGGTTATTTCAAATAAGCAGCTTTGAATCCGATCAGATAAACGTTGTTTGCTCACTCTTGTAACCTAATAATTACAGATGAAGACATAATCCTAAACCATATTGGCTTGCTCCCAGTGCAAACAGTCAAGAGGGTGGGAAAAGCAGAGGAACGAGGGAAGAGTGTGGGGGGGAGCTATAAAAATTCTAGAAATCTGAGGAAGATGGATCCTTTTTCAGAATCTTTAAGTCAATTTGTTTTCCGTTTTACCGTGCAAAGAGCACAGTAACCGTGAAAACCCCTCTTGCTCTCGCTCACCCTTTTGGTAGGCTCTTACGGTGCTTATTTATTTTCCTTGAAATCAAAGAAGTGGGTTGGGTGAAATCTGTGTCGTCAAACACCACATTCAATATCTGCCCCCTCTCAGATTATTGTTAACATATTTCCAGAGCTCAACAAATGTTCTGTATTTCTAAAGCGCACAAGTGGCTGTTGGAAACACTAAATTATAGAAAATTCCATACGGAAGTCAGCCTCCGGGTACCTTTGTATTTGGAATTTAAATGTACATACACGTTGTTATATTATTATTATTTTGAATGTCCTTTGTTAGATTTCTAGAAGCTAAACTATTTGGGGGTGGAGGAAGACAGATCTATCTGGAATTTAAGCATGTGGCACTAGTGGGGAAAAGAAACAGCCAGATGAAGATCCTGCCCTTTCAAAATGTGTCCCGGGAAACGAATATGCTCATCGTGTTTTGTCTTGCAGAATTTTGCCTATGCCA